GGGGGTACTGGGAGAGAACCCACACAGTTGTGGGAAAAACATGTAAACACCACACTGAAAACACCAGTCAAACCCATCAGAGCTAATACCCAAAACACTACTGTGAGGTATCACTGCAACAGCATGCTGAACATAAATGTATTCATTTGTTGACTTATTAAGGGGGCAATAAATAAATTAACTTCTTAAGCCGCACAGAAAGCACAGAAAAAAAAAGTCTTATTTTAATTTTTGCTTTTTTTGACAAAACGTATGGTTTGGGTTTGAGATCTGGTTGAGGTCATCAGTGGAGAATTAGACCCCTCGAAGTTAATGACATATCCTGAGTCATGCCATACATACACTCAACAAAAATATAAACGCAACACCTTTGTTACTGCTCCCATTCCCCATGGGATGGACGTAGAGACCTAAAATTCATTCCAGATACACAATATAACCATCCCTCCCAAACAGTGGTCACAAATAAGTCCAAATGTGTGGTAGTGGGCACATCTGCTATATTGAGATAATCCATCCCACCTCACAGGTGTGCCACATCAGGATGCTGATCTGACATCATGAGTAGTGCACAGGTGTACCTCAGACTGCCCACAACAAAAGGCCACCCTGGAATGTGCAGTTTTTTGCACTATTGGGGGTCTGGGGACCCAGAACCGGTCAGTATCTGGTGTGACCACCATTTGCCTCATGCAGTGCAACACATCGTCGCATGGAGTCTATCAGATTGTCAATTGTGGCCTGTGGAATGTTGGTCCACTCCACTTCAATGGCTGTGCGAGGTTGTTGGATATTCGTGGGAACTGGTACACGCTGTCGTATACGCCGGTCAAGCACATCCCGAACATGCTCAATGGGTGACATGTCCGGTGAGTATGCTGGCCATGCAAGAACTGGGACATTCTCAGCTGCCATCTGCCCTGAACAATGTGAACCATGATTCATCCGTGAAGCGCACACCTCTCCAACGTGCCAGACGCCATCGAATGTGAGCATTTGCCCACACAAGTCTGTTACGGCGACGAGCTGGAGTCAGGTCAAGACCCCGATGAGGACGACGGGCATGCAGTTGAGCGTCCCTGAGACAGTTTCTGACAGTTTGTGCAGAAATTGTTTGGTTGTGCAAACCAATTGTTCCAGCAGCTGTCTGGGTGGCTGGTCTCAGACGATCTTGGAGGTGAACCTGCTGGATGTGGAGGTCCTGGGCTGGTGTGGTTACACGAGGTCTGCGGTTGTGAGGCCGGTTGGATGTGCTGCCATATTCTCTGAAACGCCTGCGACAGATCTGGTTGACATTCCTGCTGTCAGCATGCCAATTGCACGCTCCCTCATTGCTTGTGGCATCTGTGGCATTTTGCTGTGAGAAAAAAACTGCACATTCCAGGGTGGCCTTTTGTTGTGGGCAGTCTGAGGTACACCTGTGCACTACTCATGATGTCAGATCAGCATCCTGATGTGGCACACCTGTGAGGTGGGATGGATTATCTCAATATAGCAGATGTGCCCACTACCACACATTTGGACTGATTTGTGACCACTGTTTGGGAGGGATGGTTATATTGTGTATCTGGAATGAATTTTAGGTCTCTACGTCCATCCCATGGGGAATGGGAGCAGTAACAAAGGTGTTGCGTTTATATTTTTGTTGAGTGTATTAACAAGAGGATCCCAAGCTTTCTTCCCTCAAAGGCTGAAAAATCCTTCTAGTCCATGTAGGGATCCAGTCCCATGACACTAAAGGATAACTTGATCTGAAGTAGTTTGTAATGTTTCCATGAGAACAAGAAGCCAGTGTCTCCATTCTTTTCTTTCAGTTACATGAGATTTTTCAACTCAAATTGAGCACTCAAAGTACTTTAAAACACATTAATACATAAAGAAAGGACATAAAAAATAATATAACGTACATTTACTTACCAACAATGAGTTTAATGAAGGCCTCTTGTCCCACTTGTGGAACAAGGCATCTGTATATTCCCTCGTCAGAGACGGTCACGTTTGAGATTTTCAGTGAAATGTCTCCATGTTCCAGTTTTTCCTTAACCACTGATGTCCTTCCTCTGTACGACGGCTGTTTGTTCACCACGTGTTCTTTTTCGTCTGCCCACTCGTAAACAAACCCGGGCGTTAGGTCAGGTCTCGCCCACTCCAGCCTCATGCCATTAGCATTCATTTCTGGTTTAATGTGGCACGGCAAAACAACCTCTTCCCCAACTGTGGCCACGACTGCTGGAACGACAATGAGAGGCCGCCCTGAGGAGGAAAAGGAAACAGCGGAGTAAAGTGAGCATTCCTGACAGTGTAAGTCACAGTTACTGTCAAACCTCTTACAGTTTACAAACAAGTTGACATTTATATAAAATTAGACCAAACTGGAAATACTACTTCTACTACTAATAATAATAATCTAACCTATTGTGGGGGTTTTTTCTACTCTTAAACTTGTACTTTCTTACATGACCCAAATATTTCCCACGTGTGGGACTAATAAAGGTTTATCTTATCTTAACTTACCAAGCACTTAACCTTGGTGACGTTGAGCTCAGAGAAGAAAATGAAAAAAATGCACAAACTGTACTGTAAACTGCAGTCAAACCACATGACAGTTGTTTACACCCATACCACTTAAGGCATCTGACCCCAGGATATAATAAAAAAAAAAACTACGATATAATATAATATAATATAATATAATATAATATAATATAATATAATATATGACAACAATCATGACCTGTTCAGGCAACCAAAAATGTGGTCTTTGCTTCTGTTTTTTGGTTTAAGGAGGAGAAACACAAAAGGTTGCATAACAAAACATATAGTGCAATTATGCAGTAAAAATGTCTAATAATCCAATGGCGACATCAAATGAGCGTTCAGTAGAAAAGAGTATTCAAAACACAAAAGACTACACAAAGAAATGCTTGATAGGGGTTGTATTGTGAAATGCTTTGTGGGTTGGCTCTTTGATTCTGGAGGAGGAAGTTACTGATCTCATAAAACCACAAATGTTTTGCACGCAGTTAAGAGCAATGTGCAATGTGAAGTGCAAAGACACCATGCTGATAAAACTATGAACTCACCTCTGTGTATCAGGAGAAGGCAGAAAACCATGTGCTGTAAAATCATGGCTCTGTAGCCTCTCAATGATAACTTATATCTCCACAGATGCATCTTGGAAATCTTAAAGAAAAAGAAAAGTTGTAAAATTAACGAGATTAAAGACAATCAAAATAAATCATGCTAATTATGCGATTTTGCTCCAAGAGAAAAAGCTTTTTCTGTTTGTTTTGTCCTCTTTTCTTCATCATTGACTGTTTTTTCTCCCTCTTCTGGTCGTGTTTAATTCGTTTTTTATATTTGCTTTTAAAACAATGAACTCCCCTTCCAGATATTTTCATATAAACCGATTGTTAAGTTTCTGCATTGACTTCGGGCTTAGTTTTGTCGCTCTAGTCATGAGCTTCTTTGTTTTGCTTTTGTGTTAAATGACATTAAGTATCAAAGTTAAATCAAAATTTAGACTCACAAGAGAGACGCAACTGTGATTTTATTATGTCATATAATGCGAAAAAAGCTATTCTATTCTATTCTATTCTATTCTATTGTTTTAATCTCAAAGCCAGAAGACGACAAAGACATATAAACGATTCTGGACGGTTTTAAAATCCCCCGAACTGCTGTGACGCTCCCCTTCCGTCAGCTGAGAAAACTCTTTAACATTTAAATCGACTGTACTTGCATGGGTAACGAAATGTTTCTCCCACTGAAAACGCTACATCGGGATCAACAGAATCGACCTTTTGGGAATTGCGACTTACTGCTATTGTGTCCTTGTTTACTTGCATTCATCTTTTATAAGGCATTGATGCCTCTTTTGTTGTTGGATCCTATCTGAAAGTTACGGATACCACGTTCACTTTCACTGTATTGTTGTTTGTTTTTTCTTTGTATTATTTGTTACGATATATTTATATAATTGCACATAAACGTTAAAACCTTTGACACTGTAAGCTGTTTTACTTCTATAACAGTTCTGATGAGAATAATCAAAAGTATTTAAGAGGAAGACTTACCTCAAAGAGAACAAAAGTCTACGACTTGCTGCGCAAGAGCTCTGTTGTTTGTTTACACTGTCACGTGCGATCAGCCGCGTGAGCTTCCCGTCTAAAACGAGGAAATCGTGACGACGATAATATGGCTCAGTGTTTTAAGCTAAACGTTGTTTGCAGATGCCATGTATATGTAAATATATAGCAACAGATATATAAAACCTCGTGTCTCAGCGTTACCGTGCACTTTCACTGATATGGCATTTCTGGTGTCACTTTTCTCTATAACGCTCGCTGTCTCCCGCTCTCTCTCTCTCTCTCTCTCTCTCTCTCTCTCTCACACACACACACACACACACACACACACACACTGTGGTCTTTGATTTCATCATTTTCATATTTTGACAAATTTGTTTGAAGGCTGTAAAATAAATCGATTTAATAATGTTATTTTTAAAACATATTTTATTTGGGTTAAATCAACACGTTTTTGTACATAAACTTGAAACTGGACTCGTACAGTCTCTCTCTATAAGAACAGAAACAAAATTGCATTGAGGTTTTGCAAAAACGACGTGCTTTACTTGCTCTGTAATTCAGCCTGAAACTGCCTCAGACCTAATAATAACTAAAGTAATACACAGGGCTTTGACAAAGATAAGTAAACTATATACTATGGCAGACTCCACGAATCAAACTATGGAGCTGGAGAGTTGACACGTCGATGAAGCACCATCAGCCCATTTACTGTGTAAATCGAGTGTAATGTTTCATTTTTAACACCAGATGGCGACCCCTGGAGAGGTCAGGAGCACCACCTTTTTTCTTCTTTTTTTTTTTTGTTGGTGTTGAAGCGTCAGTGTGTCAGCAGGTGAGAAACAGCGTAACTGCTGCACCGCCCACAGCCAAACCAAGATCAAAAGTCTGAGGTTGTGAGTGTCAGTCAGTGTGTCTGATCACACTGATCTGAAAGGGTTCTGGTGTCTGCAGAGAGAATGATAACTTCCGAAACATTAATTTGGTTCTTCAGTAATTGAGGGGGAAAGTCTTTTGTCCTTTAGGGATGTATCGTCGTCTTTTCGTGGTTGCCAGTCTGCTGTCATCCTATGTGGGTAAGAAAAAGAGCTGGGTTATGCTGATTTTGTTTAGAGCAACGATTTAATTCACGTTAAGTCAAAGAGAAAAGTAAATGAGAAGTGCCAAAGAACGTTAGGGATTTTCGGTTAACTGCAAAACGCCCTCGTCATGCATCGCTGTTATCAGATAAAGATCACAGGAGCCAACAGGTTTTTCTTTCAGGATTTCTTTAAATTAACTTTTCCAAGCGGTGAACAGTGACTCCTGGCCGTCAACAGGATACTTAACAGCACAAGCTCAACATGACCTTTCATTGCACGAGCCGCGGATCCAAGCAATACTGCGATTGTTTGTCTTCCACTAGTGCGAGAAAGTGTTTGTTTAAACTTCACCTGCTGCCGTTACCTCTGTAAATCATGCCAAACCAGTTAGCTGAAAAATAATAACTCGGCGTCCTTAGGTCAAGCTTCAAATCTGCAGTGATCTCAGGACGTTGTTAAGAGATTTTCAGAATAAAAGAATAGTTTTCAACATTATAGACAGGATTTCATATTATACATTCTGTAGTAGTGCTGTATAATTACTACAAACACTGTAGTCATAGTATTTTTAACCAGTGCTGAAATTATGGTTATTTAATGTAATTACTCACAAAGTTTGAAAAAACAAAACCATAATGCATTTAAAAGTAACCCCAAATCAATACGAATATAATATCTATAAATGGATGAGAGAGGCAGAGAAAATAACAGATATGTCAATTAAATATGCCACAGTCTAGTGCAGAGGGAATTTGGGGGACTTGAAAGAGGAAAAAACACAAACATAATTGTGAACAGCAATGATGTGCAATCATTTAATCATAATTGTTCTTTAATTGTTAAAGATGCACACACTGCATGCCTGAATCAAATGAAATGTACGGTTTGTTAACTGGTGCAGAACTGTGCACCATGTTCAAAGTTTCTGATGTTCAGTCTTAACCATGTCTGCATGTCTTAATGAGGAGTTGCTGCCATGTGATTTGTGTGAATAGATATTTGCACTGACATGCAGTTGAACTGGTGTACCAAATAAAGTGTGTTTCTATGCATCTTGCTTACGTAAATGTCACAATTATCTGTGTCCTGACAAAGTGTGGGACGTAGAGTATGTGTGAAACAGTGTGGGACATTTTCAATTATGTACAAAGTATACATCTTACAGGTTTGGGGACTTCCCCACCTTACCTCATGAACATCACTGGCCAATATCTTAATCACGCTGAACCAACCAGTGCAAACCTCAATAGATGGACTCGTGCCAATAGTTGTATCATTAACCAAATACTATGCATTTAAAAATAAATGCCATCAGAAATGCAGTGCATTCAGAAGTTCATGATTAATTGGATGAGAGAATATTTGAGTGACTAAGCCGTCATTGTTGCGTCACAGGAAAGTACTGCTGCAACGTTATGCAGGTGAAAAAGATAATAAGTGCAAGCAGCTGATTGTGGCATTCAAAGTCCTCAGAAACAAACGTCTTGCAGCTTTGTTTTCTGTCGGGCTCTTTGGGTGGCAATTTTCTTTCATTTCAAATAAGATACGATGGCCAAACCTGGATAAGAGAAAAAATAAATCAACAATGCCACCAAAAAACAAACAAAGAAACAACAAAAAAAAAACAACAGTTTAATGTGTCAGAATATTTTTTTTTTCTCTTAAAAAGGGGCTTTCTCTTCTGAATGTCGTACTTTTGTTACAGATGTATGCCCTTATAGCTTTAATGTGGCATTAAAAATATATGGGATAGACTTGATTGTCTCTGTAATGTAACTGTAATCCTGCTGGTCAATACTCAGAGTATTGATCAGGATTTGAAAAAGGCTGGTAAACTGCAGAGTTTGCCTTGCAGCTCCGTGCTCTCTTCACCTATAGAATAACATACAGGAGTCAATCCACCTGGAGGCGTAAAGTTTTACTCACATTGTTTATTGCCTACTTCAATAACTTTAGTTTTTATCATTTTAATATGGTTTTTTATCCTTTTTGTGTTTGTGTTTTTTTTTTTTTTTTTTTTTTTTTTTTTTTTCTTTTCTTTTTTCTAGGTGGATCCCCTGCTCAGGATCAGCCAGTGCACGTTCTTGCCTTTGCTGGTGGAGATGTTATTCTACCGTGCAGTTTCAATATCTCTGACAAGGAAGACTTTCCGACTGTTGAGTGGTCCAAGGAAGGCTTGAAGCCAAATGTTGTCTTCTTGTACCGGGATGGTTGTGAGGCCTACGAGATGAAGAATCCAGCCTTCGAGTACAGGACAAGCCTCATCATGAAAAAGCTCAAAGATGGAAACATCTCATTACGGATCTCCAATGTGCAGGTGTCTGATACTGGAAAGTACCAGTGCCTCGTATTCCAGAAAAATGTCGCCAGGAAGGTTTCAACAGTGGAGCTGTTTGTGGGTATGTCCACTCATGTTCATTTCTACACAAAGAGTTCACCATTGAATTGCCTAAGTGTGCTCCACCCACTTAAATGTTGGATTCTTGTCCAGTTCAGCTAAATTCATTTAACATGCGATCAGGATCTGGGTTTTACTTTAGAGTCAGAGCTTGAAGGGGCACAATTTTGAATTACAGGAGGATAAACTATGCTCCACAAAGTTTATGCTAGGTTAGATGGTGGTCATTGATATAAGTTGACCCTACCCCTAACAGCACAGAGCTCTTGGCTTTAAACATAGACAGTATCTGTGAGCTGCTTCTTTTCTTCATCTGTATCTCATTTCATCTTCTATCTATTTGATTTTCCTTTTGAATAAACAATTGAGCTATTAATTATACCTAAAAATCTGAATCCATTCTTCGGGTCGTATAGCAACTGAATAAAAATCAATGATACGTCCATAAATCCACACACTTGTAAAACTTCTCACATTTCAGCCTTTGGTTGTCAACAGTCTAAAACTACTTCAAAGTTAAATGAGTCTTGATGAGTATCGAGCTTTATTGGTTGATAAAGTTAGCCACTATCTTGCTAGAGCAAACTTTCCTTCTGCTCAAATGTTCTGTTTATGGAGGTCAACAGACGAAAGCATAGGAAACAGGGGAAACTAGCTTCTTTTAGACAGTGGAGCTGAACAGAAGAGTTGCACCAACGACCAATAAAAGAGGAGTAGACCATATTTTGACTGTGACATATACAAAGCTGCTCTAGTTGAGTTCAAAGATAAAAACATAACATAATAGATCCAAAAAAGGAAACTTTAAACAGATTTCCAAATGGTAAATGGCCTGTATTTATATAGCGCTTTACTAGTCCCTAAGGACCCCAAAGCGCTTTACATATCCAGTCATCCACCCATTCACACACTGGTGATGGCAAGCTACATTGTAGCCACAGCCACCCTGGGGCGCACTGACAGAGGCGAGGCTGTCGAACACTGGCGCCACCGGGCCCTCTGACCACCACCAGTAGGCAACGGGTGAAGTGTCTTGCCCAAGGACACAACGACCGAGACTGTCCAAGCCGGGGCTCGAACCGACAACCTTCCAATTACAAGGCGAACTCCCAACTCTTAAGCCACGATCGCCCACAAATGGAAGGAACAGAACAGAGATTATTTAAACACAGAACAAGCCACTACTTTCAGCTAAATATCACACTTTAGTGGCAAGTATCCCGAGTATAGGCTGTAAATATAGTAGGAGTATTGAAAAACACTGAGAATCAGTTCCACTTTGCTCTTTAAATAATACATTGTGTACATAACATTTAATCCTCATGGGTTAAAAATATGTGACTGTTTTCTGAGTCGTCTCTGAAGCTTAAAGTACAAACAACAGCTTCATCCACACATTTGTGTACACATTTGACTCTTTTTTTTTTTTTTTCTTTTTCTTTTCTTTTTAATAGTTGGGTGTTTCATAACAGGCTGAACTGGTTGATCATTAGCCTCATTGCTCATGTAGCAATCGCCCACCTGTGGGCTGGACCGGAAGAACATATCCGGTGTGTCCTCATTTGGTTTCATGTCTCTCTGTTTAAATGTGATTTAGACCAAATGTGGACATTAAATCAAGCTGCCACTGCCAATAATGAAAAATAGGAAATGAGACTATTGCATTTCTTGAAATTCTTGTTTCATTCGTGTCTTCATTAAATCCCTGAAGTTGAGTCACAGTCATTAGACCTTAAACAAGCAACCATTGCATCACCAAACCTCTGCCAGGGGTAGTTGATAAAATTCTGTTATTGTTACAAATTTGGATATATTTTTGTCCCTAATGAATGAAAAATACTAACAAAACCATGGTGGTACCTGCATCATTTTTCGTGGGGTGGGGGGTCTGTAAAGTAAATTGTGTGTGCTAAACTTTCAAATGACACCAGCTTTATTTCATTATTTTACTGGGAATATGGCCAGTTGGCCTTGCTCAGAAGTGCATATTATACTATTAATAATATTTGTCCAATGTAAGATTTAAACTTCTGTAAAAGTTGCCATGGTTAAGGATTGGTTCACATGAGATAATCTTTCTTTCATCAGAGGAACAGACTTTCAGGATGTCTTTTTATAGGAGGAGACACTCATCTACTTAAACGCTCAATTTCAAGGAGCTTTAGAAAAGTTGTTTACTTTATAAAAAGCACAGCTCCATATAATTATCATAGGGTCGTGACCTTACAGTTTAAATCGCTCTGAGGCAACTGCTGTTGTGATTTGACACTGTCTATAAATAGTGTAATTTAATTGTGTAAAAGCAGTTTGTATTGTCTGTGTATCACTTAGAGTGTCTTTCATTCTTCTTCAGAAGCCAAGAGTGTTATAAAGTGTGGGATTGACGTCATAGATGTAACTTTAACATAAAAACAATAACAGGTTTATCAGAAATAAGGACAGGTGCATCGGATGGAAGATTTAATGATCACACCTTCTGGTTTTGTTGTTTTTACAGTGGCTGTTTCTGAGCCAAGGCTTTCAGTGATTTCAGCGGAGGGTGATGCCATAACTCTGCATTGTGAAGCAAAATGCTGGCTGCCAGAGCCTCAGGTAACATTTCTGGATGACAATGGAAAGAACATCTATGGGGAAAACCCCAAAGGACAACAAGATGCCCGTGGATGTTTCACTGTGACACAAAGAGTCACTCTGCAAAGAGCTACCAGCAGGTTATACATATTTTTTTAGACATTAATAATTGGATAAGCATTTTTAATTTTATTACAGTACTGTGCAAAAGTCTTGAATCTCTCTCTTTATATTCTGATAGGACAACAGGAAAACGCAGCGTCAGAACTCATTGTTTCTCTGGCTTTAATCTCATTAAGTAACTGTCAGGAGTAGTTCTCGTGTAGTGTAACCCTATCTACTGAGGACTGGCCTCCTGAGAGCCAGGACCCCTATATTCACACTGTGAGATCATCATGACACAACACAAAATAAACATCCAAAGGAGAATTTCAGTGACCTTCAGAAACCCCGATGAGTATTCTTGAAGACTACCTAAAGAAATGACAAGAAACATTGCCTATAAGAGTTCAGACTGTGTGCCCATTTGTGTTTGTACTTTTCAATAAATCACTGCACTTTCCCCCCATTGAATTCTTTAGGTGGGAAAAAGTGCAGTGATTTATTGCACGTAGACTGGCTCAAGACTTTTGCACAATACTGCAGATTATGTTTAACCAACTAACTGTAAAATTAGATTTTCACTTATATGATGTGATTTATAAACTGTGTATTTGTCAAACAGTATAACCTGCAGAGTTCATCTACAAGAGTTTAACCAGACCAGGGAAACAAAGATCCTCATACCAGGTATGCCAGATCTTCACGTGTGCATTCAAACTCCCATATTCACATTTTGTTTAATGCATTTGCTATCTATTTAGGGTTTATGTGTAGGTTTTATTGGGATTTCGTGTGTGGAGTTTTATCAGATGACCCCTATGTTAACCATTTGCTCTCTTGTTGCTTTCCACATGTCACTTCACACCAGGATTGACACCCTAACCCACTGTTGTCTTTATTCTAAGCTGTAAGAAATCCACACCAGACCTGGGTGTACCCTCATGCTTCGCGCATCTTTTATTATCTCTGTCACGCTTGCTGTACACGCTTGGCTGCCAGTCATACACATCAACGATGAACCCCAAACATACGACCCTACACAGATTCTAGGCTGATTGCAATGCACAGGTGCGTCTGCCTTCCCTGCAGCGGCACCGCAGAACACACCTGTGATTGATAATGTAGTTCTAGCCAAAATATCTATACTTAGAAACCGATCCATCCATCCATTCTCTTCCACTTATGCATGTCTTTGGATGCTGGGAGAAAGCCAGATTACCTGTGGAGAACTCACGCAAACGCAGGGAGAACATGCAAACTCCCCACAGAAAGACCCCGCCCTGAAATTGAATTCTTTCTGTGAGGCAACAGTGCTTACCACCGTGTCACTGTGCTGCTTAGAGATCATGATAACAAATTGTATCTTTACTCCAATACAACCTATGTACGGCCTCTGCACCACATGCTTGCCAGTTTGCATATCGCCTCTATTCTTGACATTGTCTGGAGTCCTGTTGAGTTTTGTTGGCAGATCTGTCTGTCTGTCTGTCTGTCTGTCTGTCTGAGAATTATCTGTTCATATGTCAACACAATGTTATGTCATTTCAGGTGTCTGCATGAAGTCTGATCCTCACACTATCGCCATCACCATTGGAGGAACAGCACTTCTTTTCTTAGTTGCAGCCCTTTCATGCATAAAATGCTTCAGATTTGGTGAGTCACAGTTCTGAATTATACAAAAAAATGCAAAGCAAGGGCCATTGATATAGACTGCCAGTGAGCAGTTGAGAAACATTTTGAAATGACAGCAAAGTGGTTTTGGTGTTTTATTTTTTATTGTTGTTGTTTTAAGGATGAAGAAAAATGTAGCTGCTCTTTACATAGAGAACACAAAGACAGAATTGCAAGTCTTTAAGGTGGAAACTCAGGAGTTTTGAGACTGACTCAATAGTATACACTGATCAGGCATAACATTAATAATAACTGACATGGCACCAGTAAGTGGGTGGGATAAGTGGGAGCCAAGTGAACATTTTGTCCTCAAACTTAATGTCAGAAGCAGGAAAAACTGGGATAGGCATTTGAGCAAGTTAGTTTGGGCCTAAATTGTGATGGCTAGATGACGAAGTCAGAGCACCAACGAGTTCATGTTGAGCCAAGGCTCACTGATGGATGCGCGATCCGATCCAACAGACGAGCTACTGGAGCTCAAATTAAAGAATTAATTAAAGTTAATTTTGTTTCTAATAAAAGGTGTATGAATACATACACTGGGAAACACCTGGTACCACAATGTACTTTTGGAAAAAGGCAAGCAGCAGATCCTGTTATACTGTTCTGCTGGAAAATCATTGCTCCTGCTACCCATGTGGGTAATACTTTGATACGTACCACCTACCTAAGAATTGTTTTTGCAGACCATGTACCCCTTTCGTGGAAATGGTTCCCTGAACTTTTTAGCAACATAATACACAACGTAATAAAGCAAAAACGGATCATGAATGGTTTATGAAGCTCAATCCAATCTGTTCGTCTGTGACATGTGTTTGGGCAAAGAAGTCCAGTCCAGTCCACTTCACAACTTCCACGACTTGAAAGACGTTTTTCTAACATCTTGATGTTTTGACAGTGAAAAAGGGACCAAAACAATATTCAATGGGTGATCATATTGTTTTGCCTGATCTGTGTATTTCTTGGAGTTCCTTTGTCTGTACAGTGATCATAGTTTTTGTTTTGTTTTGTTTTACTGAAGTCATAAATCAAGTGAAAGGTTGGATAATTTTCCTATAGCCATCTATACAGTTTGAATTCTATTTGCCACAAGATGATTCAGCTTTTTTGTATTTTATTTTACACAGCTATTGTAAAGCAGCCAGTGAACAGAAAGACATCAAATCAAAGCCTCCTCCACCCGACAAGAGTTAACAGCACAGACAGCTCGGTAAATGGCAGCATTGGACAGATGAAAAGACAGTCTGGGTTTCTTATCGAAGATGAGACCCAAAAACTAGAGGACAGCAAAGTTGTTTCCTACAACAGTGGAACAACTGTCCAATGTCATTCCACAACCACAGCAGACGTTTCAAAACCCTCCAAACTACTGTTAACTCACGGCCCTGACAACAAGAGCTTGACCAGTGTGTACAATCCAAACCCATCTTCAGTTTCAACCAGCTTTAAAACTCCAAAATCTGATGACTTACCCAAAAGCAGGGGTTCAAAGCTTATCATCAAAAGGCAAAACAGCTTTCCAGGACCTGGTCACATATCTCAAAGAAACCACCGTATGTACAGCAGTCCAGATATTTTACAACTACACTTACCAACATCCAACCCTTCTTCTGCTCTCAGTAGCCACCAGATGATCAACTCCAGTGTCTCACCCCATCAAAGCACCCACCATCCTCAGCGTAGACACTCATCAGTACTTCCACAGTTAGCTGAATTTCATAACCGTCACAGCCTCCTGAGAAATTTACCTGAAGAAGATGAACATAGAAGTTTATTAAGAAATGAAAAGTAAAGGAAATGTAAGCTGTACATTTCAAGCATAAGGCAAGACAATGCTTGCTCGGTTTAAATGACTGAAACTCCTTAACTGAGCAATAACTAGAAACTGAAATTTCACACCAGTGATGGAAGCACGGAGTAGGGGCTTGACAGTCAGCTGCAGTGTCTCCTGTTCTTAGAATGTTTTAATATTAAGCATGATTTCTTTCTTTTCTTTACATTACCAGTCAAAAAATGGGACCAGACCATGATGTATGGTGCTTGCGATACTTTTGCTTATATATAAAAGGCTGTTTCTTTTTACTTTCATATTAAGAGTTGGGGCTAGTTTGTATGTTTTTGTTTGTTTGGAGAAAAAACCAGTTCTTTGTTAACACTCTGTGGGGAGATCGTGGCTCAAGAGTTGGGAGTTCGCCTTGTAATCGGAAGGTTGCCGGTTCGAGCCCCGGCTTGGACAGTATCGGTCGTTGTGTCCTTGGGCAAGACACTTCACCCGTTGCCTACTGGTGGTGGTCAGAGGGCCCGGTGGCGCCAGTGTTCGACAGCCTCGCCTCTGTCAGTGCGCCCCAGGGTGGCTGTGGCTACAATGTAGCTTGCCATCACCAGTGTGTGAATGTGTGTGGATGACTGGATGTGTGAAGCGCTTTGGAGTCCTTAGGGACTAGTAAACCTATACAAATGCAGGCCATTTCACCATCACTTTGTTAACATATAGGAGTGCTTTTCCAATAGATGAAATAATTTTAGCTAATTTTTTTTCTTGCACTTTAAAGCCTTTTTTTTACTTGCTATTGTATTTTTTTTTGTATACTGTTATGTATTAATGTGCTTGAGGAAAAAAAATATATTTCCAATTATGTTTTTGCATAAACTGTGCAAATGGAAATTGATATGTTTGTATTTTTATAGATGAAACATTGGACATTGAGCTCTGTTTCAGTGGCTCATGTAACAAAAATGTTTTGTTATCCGAAAAAAAGAAAAAGGCTCCCAAATCATTCTTGTTTGCTAATGTTTTGCACAAGGTCATTTGTGCCTTTGTTTGCTGCCCTGATTATCCCAGTGTACTTTCTGCTGCCATGAATCAGAGCTAATTTCCCTGACTTTACTTTTTACTCAGGAAATGCTTTTATCGCTGCCCCGATTTTAAGTGTCAGATGACTCCACCAGGAACACTTAACCCAGGTGTTAAGTGTTTATTTATTTCATTGTATCTTTTCATATCTATAATGTATATTGATGTAAGTCTTTGGTATTACTTTTATGTCTTCAACTGTGTCTATTATTATTATTATTATTAAAATTATTAAAAAGTTGTAGTTTGTAGGGCATTTGTTGAATTTGCACACACTGACGACAACGATTAATACATTGAAAAGTACAAACACAAATGGGTACAAAGTCCGAACGCTCTTAGGCAATGTTTCTTGTAATTTCTTTAGGTAGTCTTCAAGAATATGCCTCAGGCTTCCTGAAGTGCATTCACAGTCAAAAATAACCACTTCATACATTTTCCCAATGCATTGTCATGTGACTTGTGTCATCCGTGTATATATTCAGGTTGGAACGTCCTTGTGTGGAGGGAGAAAATGTTCTCCCACACTCATAAACGGAAAGAAAGAAAGAAAAAAGTCAAGGCATCAAGTGGCAAGTTTAGTCCATTGTGCTACAGTGAAACTGGTAGCACAAAATGCTTTTATCACTGTATTTTATTTTATATTTTAATGACAGTTTAGCACATTAGGTAGCTATAAACACGGAGTGTACTTGAACGCACCACACACACACACACCGATAGTGAAACCTCACGAATGAACTCCAGGCAGTGTCTCTGTGCGTCCTGTCTACCGTACCATCTTTAATGGGCTCGTCCTGTTTTCAGGCCGGTGTACACTTTCTATGAACTTTTACACCATTTCAGAGACTAAAGGGAACCTTCAGCCTTTGCCCCTTGGTGATGTATCAGCGCCTTTTTCTGTGTGCCAGGCTGCTGCTATTTTTTACAGGTAAGGAGGGGAATACTACTTCAGCTGCTATTATTACTTATATTACATGTGTCTATAGCTATATAAATGAGCTGCAAATTTATGTAATCCCAATGGTAATGACAAAAAAGATTACAAATGAAGTTACACAGAAGAGCAAAGAGGCAAATGTCCATGATTTGTACGTTTAAGTAACACAAGTTTAAGGCTAAATAACAAATAAGACAAACTTGTTTTACCAGCTTTAAATTCCATGAACATGACAGCAAGAAGATCGTTGTGTTATTGTTAAAATGATAGTCTTGCTGTTGTTTGTACAAACCGTCTACTACAAGTGAAGCTATTTAATGGAGCCAGAAAACTCATTTCCTGTGCTTAGCATATTAGAGTGTCACATGACAGTAATTCTGTTTAGTAAAAAAGCAAAATCTGATGCAGAACATTTCAAGAAAAGAAGTGCTTTACAAAGTCCAGATAGATACACATAAAACAACACACAAGCCTGTCTGAACAAATGAGTTTTAGGCTGGTTCTCCTGCCTCCTTTAGTCAGCCTGCAGAGTGAAGGAGGCCAAGAATATATGTCAGGCTGCTCCAAAGTTTTGGATCCATAGTTTTTCAGGTGGTCATGTGAAATCACTAAAAAAAGACCTAAGAAACCACGTCGGAGAGTAGTGGTGAAGTAGTTTGACAATAAGGGTGGGGACCTCACCCCATAAAGCCATAAAGGATAAAAGTAAGAGCCAAGGTTTTAAACTGAAGTCTAAACCTGACACAAAGCCAGTGTAAAATCCTGAAATGGAGTGATATAAAAGTTATTCTGCTCGTAATGTGTATGGACAGAATTTCTAGGTGCAGCAAGTGGCGGAAGGCTTTCAACTGGGTGGTCTCAGAATGAGTCAGGGACGGGTTCCTGCCCCAACTGGAGGAGTTTAAGTATCTCGGGGTCTTGTTCACATGTGACAGGAGAAGGGGAGATCAATAGGCGTATTGGTGCTGCGGCTGCAGGGATGCGGATGCTGTGCCGGTCTGTTGTGGTGAAGAGACAGCTGAGTGTAAAAGCAAACTGGCCTGCATTTGTATAGCGCTTTTCTAGTCCCTAAGGACTCCAAAGCGCTTTACACAACCAGTCATCCACCCATTCACACACACATTCACACACTGGTGATGGCAAGCTACATTGTAGCCACAGCTGCCCTGGGGCGCACTGACAGTACCTCCTGGGTGAGGTCTTCAAGGCATGTCCCACCAGGAGGAGGCCTCGGGGCAGACCCAGGACACACTGGAGAGATTATCTCTCTCAGATGGCCTCGGTGTCCCAACAAAGTCCCAGATTCTAATTGGATTTTCCTAAATCTTTTTATAAGTGCAAAATGTTTACATGGGAATGCAATTACATCATTAACTGTATGTTGACAGAACCACCTTCGTGTTATTGCTATTATAACAGTAATTACAGGCCCACAGAGTGATACGAGGGAGATATGACTAGGGATGGGTATTGATAAGATTTTCACGATTCCGATTCCATTTTCGATTCTGTTTAACGATTCGATTCTTTATCAATTCTTTTTAAAAAAGGAGAACACTAAGGTCGATTAGCTTAGAACTTTGTTTTATATCTTCTCTTTGAACAAGATAGAAATTTAGGAGTAACATGGCCTTACAAACCCAACAGTGAGATCTTAAGAGATCCAGCCTACAGCTCTTCAATGTGGTGTCACAGGAAAAAAATTGTAAATGTAAAATAATAAAATAAATATTCTTCTGTAGCAATAACAAAGTATAACATAAATTATTCTGTAGCAATTACACAAGAATATCCAGTAATGTCCCTGCCTACAATTAAACACCTTCACTTACCGAAAATTGGGGGCATCTGCTGTGGCAAATGGGTGCAAGGCTTTGACCACAAACTTAGTCACTGCTCGGTGACATTCGTCTATCCTGGCCTGAAAGGAGACGCTACCGGTAGACTGCAGCGAGAACTGCCAGCATCTGAGCCAGACTCTGTCTGTCTCTCTCATCATGGTCACCTAAATGCACAGTAATGGCAGGTTTGTAATAAGGCAGATCACGCTAACATAATATGCACTGTTAGTTGATTATTTACCTGCCGCCATGTTTCCTGCCAGGTAAATGATGCTCTGCAACGTGGTGACGTTATTCGGGGCGACAGGAATCGATAAGGGAATCGTTTGCAAAAATGGCAAACAATTCCAAGGAATTGAAACAGTGGGAACCGGTTCTCAACAAGAACCGGTTTTCGATGCCCATCCCTAGGTATGACTCACACATTCTTGCATTCACAGTGTTGGAATATGAGATAAGTTATTGCATAGTTTCCACTCATGAGTCGGATTAACTTAAGACCTGTTTTCACATTTATACCTTGTGGTAGGATGTATGCAAAAGGTTATGTCAACAATACAAATCATTCATCTTCTGCAAGAGGTGCAAATATTTTTCCGGGAGCAGAGATTTTGCTTTATGCCTCCGGCTGTTTCATGTGATCATCACTGTAATAATGCAGCTTACAATATTGTTATATTTTAATATTTTACTACTGCTACTGTTATTCCTTACTAGTGTCGTTTGAGAGTCCGTGCTAGTTTGCTAACTTGGATTAAAGGGCAACAGCCAAATTTTCTGGATCTCATGGGTGGCCCGGAATATTTGGTGCGCCTATGATTTATCAAAGGAACCCCAACCAGGAAACCCGAAAGTGTGCAGCACCACAATGTTTGTCCCTTGTCCAGATATTCTGAATAGTTGTATGTTTACAGGGATTGCTGCTATTGTGCCTTATCACACTGCACTATTTTTGTGGCAGTTGTTTGTGTATCTGACTCTGAGTATCGTTTCAGTCACAAAGGCCTTTGATTTCATGCAGTTAAAGCAAAGGCACAAGAGTGATCCAGCACTCAAAGCACCCTTAATGGAAATTTATGGGAAAATTTTGCAACATCAATCAACATTAATCGGGTCACATTTAGAACTTTTTTTAAATAATGTTTATGGAAAAACCTTTAACAGAAACAACTATACAATCTAAAAATTTGGGGACTCCTGAAATGTAAGATCTTTATTTGAAAGCTAATCCACTGGTGATGTCGTTGGTGTTGTGTGTTGCATTTTTTAATGTCCTGGGAATTAATGAAGTATAGCTAATTGAACACTCT